CACTTAACACGCTCCCTAATGACTTGATGCAGCTTACTTACAAATCCTTAAATGTCAAACAGCTTTTAGATACAGTGCGGCACCCGAGTGTGAAGTGCCACGGCTCTTGACAAACAATCACAATGTGCAGATGAGAAACATTCTTGCTCAAGAAGTAGCACATTAAAATGGTTGATAAATGAGAGCAATCCAATGAAAAGTGGTCATCTGTATGATACATTATTACACACCTCATTTTATGTCCCAAAGTAAGATTTAGTTTATAATGTGCAGAGCTGAGTAAGTGCACAAAAATATAGTTTTAACTATGGCACAGCTGTCTTTGAACTTCTCAACTTGTCTTGTGGAAAGACAAAACAGTGGTAGGAAACCAGCAGCCTGAGGGCCAAAATAGGGCCGCTAGCCTATATTAAAACCTTGACATCATTTTTCAGATGCCATCTGTGGATAAAAACGTAAAGGTTGAGCTTGTGTAAATCCCTAACATGACCTCAAGCCTCATAATATCATAAAAACAACAGCAGCCCCATGAGGAGATCAACATATATACTGTATAATAGAACATATGTCCAACTTAATTGTTTGATCCGTTCAATCTACACTTGCTCCAACCTCCGTGCATCATCTCTCATCAGAACAGCTGTCTGTCAGCAGGAGGACAGCACGTTCCTCACTAAGCTGGCTGACAGCAGAAGTGTACTGGAGAAAAATAGTTTTTATGTAGGCTCATCAGCAAGAAATCAGCAGCATTTATATCTATGGGATTTTATTTCACTTTGTAGCTGCAAAGGATGATGGGAAAATCTCACACCGACACCAGGACCCTGATCCATCAGAAGAGATTCAAGTAAAAAGTTTCCAACACATAAAGAGGCTAACAGGTGATCTACCGGACTTCTACCTGTCTGTGGCAGTTACACTTCAAATACATCAAAGGAAAACATAAGCTTGAAGTGTACAAAAGAGGTCCAGTCTCCGCTTCATGAGACGGGCGAGTGACAGACCTGTAGATAAACACCGCAATGACAGTATCGCAGAGATTGTTACGTATTTCTACAGTGAGAGCAGTCGTTCCTGCATAACTTGTACATTTTGCAGTTGCACCCTGTGTGACTTTTGAAAAAAATCTGTTGCACCCTAAATAAGTACAGCTGCAAAATGTGACTGTTCACTCACAGTCTGGAGCCCAGCATGTATTTACAAAGAAAGAAAGAGAGGCAGTGTCCCTCTGTTAATGAAACCGGAATCCAGAAAAAGTTCCCCCACCCAGTTAAAGGCCACTTTTTCAATAAGATGTATGTACTCTACTGTATGAACTCCTTTTTTCTCATTGAAACAGGTGCCATCAGTTCAATGAAACATTTTCCTGCACCCTCTCCTGAAAATAAATCTCACCCACTATGTATGCAAATTTTTCCTGTCTCAGGTGTGAATGCTTTTATCACACGGGGTCAGATGCTTTTATCACACACACAAACACAGATGCACTCAGACCGGCAGGCAGACAGAGGAGGGCGGTGTATTCCTCTCGTGGTGAGGACAATAGTGCAGGTTAACTGTAATCTGCCATTCAGTTGAGATCCACTCCTCACAGGTGGAGGAAGATAATATTGTGAGAGAGACTTTTCAGCTCAATCATGGCCATTCATAGCAGCCGGGGTAATGGCACACACTGAAACACACACACACACAAAAGACACGCAATCTGACATTTCTTCCAGGTTGACGTGGAGACGAATGAGTGTATGTGTGAGGTGTGTTTTTTCCACTCAGGCCTGCTACAGTCTGTGTAGCAGCAGCAGCAGCACTCTGGCTCCACACAAATGTCAGATGCTCCATCTCAGGAATCAAAAATCTATGGCTACTTCTGCCTGCCAACTCCTCTCCCTCCTTCTTTTTTCCTCGCTCTGTGTATCTTTCAGTAACCCAATGTTCCCATTTCATTGGCAATGATTTTATTAGCTTTCCACAGACATCGTTTTGTAGTGTAGCTGTGGGGGGGACGAAGGAAGCTTGGGTGTGTGCCACACCACTCAGAGCAGAACGTGTTCCACTGGAATCACTCCTTCAGGGTAAAAGGAGACAATCCTTAACATTAAAGCTGCTACAGTAGAGCCAAAGTGTGACACTTCTTTGAAACAACTCCACTGGGTAAGTCATCAGTTATCCATTATTTGGAGTGCTTTCTGACATGTTTTCTTCTGACGCTCATTTTTAGTGTGTAACCATGGTAAGAGGAACCAGCATTACCCAATGTCTGATGCCTTTCACCTACAAGTTACAGTAAGAGTCATTGTTAAATAAATCCCAAGCATATTTTCTGACCATGTCCAATGTGTCTTTGTAGTTTGTTACATATAGCACAAACATGATTTTGCGCTTAGCTGTGACTGCTGACAGAAAGGAGCTGTGCTTCAGCAGCACTGGTCAATGAAGTGGTTATCGCATGCACGCCAAGACTGCAGCAGGGTTTAATTAGAATAAATGTTGATTCTGCACGCGTTGGCACAGTGGAACTTCAACATCTTTAAAACAAGTACAAAGAAGTCCTATTTCTGTTTTAGCTCAGGCTCTGTTTGTGCTGCACACAGTTTAAACAACCCCAGCGAAACAGTTCTCACCACATGGCCCATTTTTTTCTGTTACATCTGCACTATCCTCTCAAAATTGGTCATGTATTGAGGTAAATATTTTACTGGAGGATGTGAAGTCAGACCAAGCTCTCACTGAGGAAAGAAAAAAAGAGAAGTAAGAGGACTGAGGCAACAGCATGTCATAAATGTGCAAGCGTGAGAAAAAGTAAAAGATGTGAGTATGTGAACAGCGAGAAAACCGGAGAGTCGTGTGTTCCAGACAGTGGGAGACAAGACAAGAGCATATCAGTGTGCAGACCACATGCCTTTAGGATTTCAAAACATATTGCAGAAGACTGAAATGGAAAATGTGCGGAATTAAAGAAAATGTTTTTAACCTCTAGGCTGTCCATTCATCTGTGGCACTGAATGAAAGCACGTCTCATATCCTCGAGCAGAGCGGTGGAAGGAGTCGAGGGGCGCACATTGCCCTGGCAACAGCAGACTAAAGCTCTCCTGCTCTGCTCGTCAGGCTTCTTTTTTCATCACAAACCAGTCTATTCTCTAAATTCATTTTCCACATTCTCTCCTCTTCTGTTAATCCATCTCCTTTCCCTTCTTTTTCATTCCTCACTTTTTTGCTCTCATGTACTTTCTTTTGTATTTGTTTCCTTTCCTTTACTTCCCCTTTCTCTTCCTTTTCTCTACTTTTGTTTGCTTTCTTTACCTGTACAGTGCTTTCCTCCTTTTCTGTCATTACATTTTCTGTCCTTTCTTCTTCATTCCTTTTCTCTCCGTTTTATCTTCTCTTTTTTTTATTTCCTTTACCTTTTTCTAGTTTCCTTTACATTTCTGTTTTCCCCTCTCCTTTCCTTCCCTTACTACTCTAAGGTAATGTTAAAATTTCAAAATACACAAAGGTGCATATGAAACCATTTTAGAGGAACAAAGAATGATTACTGTCCAAAAAATGCTCATGATCAGTAAATCTCTTACAGAGGAAATTTAATTTAATTTCATTTAATGTCATTTTATTTAATATCAGAAATATCAGACAGCACAGAAGGAGTATTTTTTCTAAAAGATAGATATCTCGTCTTGGAATGAAACTGCTCAATTTCACTGAGTTAGTGGATAAAAAAATAAGAGGACTTTGTCGTGATTCACTCAATTTGGAACCAGTTTGCCAGCACATTATCCCTTCACGGCACAAGATGAACAGTGCCAGATAACAGATCTGTTCTACTGCACCTCACTCCGCTTCATTCCCTCATCCAATGCAGATGAACAATTGTTCTCTATCCTCTGTGTTTGACAAGAAAAACAATGCTCTTCTGTTAGTGTTTGTTGGGTTAAAGGAGGTCCAAAAATTAATGGGAACACCTCCACACAATGTTGTTGTTTATTTTCCATATCAGAAAATGCAAATGGAGAGAGCTATAAAGGCCAAATATTCAGCAAAATATGGCTCCAGTAGCTCTCGCTGCGACTCTATCAAAAGCATTGTTTTTGGAAATGGTTGCAGTTTATCTTGGTGTTTCAGTGTTCCTGCTCTCTGTCATCTGTTCTGATGTTTTATTGATGTTTGTCACTTGATGTTTTCCAGCCTTTATTCTGCATTTGCTGCACTGCTAATGTAACATGTGTGTAAATGTTGTTTCTGTGATGTATGCCTTTTAGCAGGTGGTAATTATCATATTAAATAAAGCTCAAGAGTGATAAATGAATGTGTTTTTCTCTGCCCTGTTTCTTTAAACAAGACACCTCAAACATAGTTTCAATCACAGTTTACATCACCATCTCCAATCAAGAGCGTGAGGTAGGTAGAAACTGCTAGGTTACCATGGCAACACGACATCTGCTTTATGCTATGTAACTGTTTAACCTTCACTGTTGAACTAGACCTAACTATGTACGTTCCAGACTTTTTACAGCGTGACCTAAAAAAATACATCCTGTTGTCTCTGTTTTTAACCAGGCTGTCTGGATCAGGTATGAACACTTTGGATTTCCAACACATTGTAAAAACCATTTATTTTCTTGTATAACTGGTCCCTGATCAGAAGCTAGCTACCCAGTTAATATAACACAACACATAACACAACACATGTTCCCCCTAAACACACAGCACCTGTGCCAAACTAACATATTCCAGATGAGACTCACACATATAAAACTGATATAAACCTTCTCATAATGGACTCACAAGAAAACACTACTTAACTTTGCCTCATGTCATTCTTCACCTTACCTCACCTAATATTGTTTTGAGCACAGTTGTGTGTTATGTGTCTGTGTTAGGGCCAATACTTACATATACTGTACCCACCAATTTTGGAAAACAAAATAATTTTGCTTTTCACTGATTTTCTGTATTAAAGCATTGAAACACTCAGTCATTATAAATCAAGCCAGCAGCAGTCTTACCTGCAGGATCCTGCACCTCTCAGAGTTGCAGTCGATGTCCTCACAAGGATGAAACATGCCCAGTGTCACACAGTTCTGTAGGATCACCAACATGGACGCTCGCTCGAACCATGTGGACAACAGTTAAGGAATATAAGAGGCACTAAACAATGATGTCTAAGTCTGTGACAAGAGTCAAGCTTGCAGTAACAACATGGTGCATTATTCTAGCCTTCCTCCAGTGACCTTGTTATCCCACTCAAATTTATAAACCCCTCTGAGAAAGTGATTCATCTCTTCCAGCCAATTTCAATATCAAAAAACAGTTTTGGAAATAAAAAGAATGAACCAGAGAGGAATGTGAAAAGAAGCCCATCTTAACCAAAGATTTGTTTACAAGGCATGTTGGAAAATGTTCAGATTGGTAGATAGCCGTAGGTAGGCATAAAAAAATGACAACAAAGGCAGATGCTGAGACTGGGAGGCTGACTAAAAGGGGGATGAAGCATCCTGATTTAGAGTTAGTGAATGTGAAGACATCTTGATGTGCAGCACATGAATTTTATTGACCGCAGGGTTAAAGTGGGCATTCTTAATGTGGTTAGGCTAAATGCCAGCTTGAGCTATGCAACACCAATCAATGATGACACTAAAGGCAGGTCGACACTACTACAACAAACAAACAGACACACACACACACACACAGTGACACACATACATGGACTGAGTGTGTACACACAAATACAAAGCTCTGTACATTATAGATTACTACAGATCCACAGTCAGCACCCTTCATCCAGCCTGGTTAACAATGTTAAACACAGTGTGTGTCTTAGAAAGTGTGTGTATGTGATGTGACAGACAAAAGGAAAACAGTGCTTTTCATCTCTGTATGTGTGTAAAAGGGTACACAGAGGTGTGAAGACAAACGACCTGTCTGTTTTTTTATCACATTTGCAGCCACTCGCTCATTCATCCCTCTGACCCATAATGCAGCTTGGTCAGCATGGTCCCACAGCCATCACAAAAAAAAGGGAGTGCAAAACAAACGACGACACTAAAACCCTGATTTTTAACTGTCCTCTTTTATGTTGGTCAAAAGCAGCCACAGCAGGCTGAAGCATCAAGCTGAATACCAGACACTCTGATAAAAGCCATAAAATGGATTTGTAGTGGAGTGTAAAACAAATATTAAATATTAAATAGACTTAAATATGCCTATTTGTACAATAGTTTGCAGCTAACATCTTAGGCTGACATGCCTCTTTTTTAGTGAATTAATATTGTACTGCATAACAAGTGGTAGCAGATGAGTGAATATTTTGGCACAAGAGGAAAGGAGGTCACCAAAATCATGAATATCCCAATGACAATTTCAATCATTTCAACAATATTCTTCAAGCAACATGTTGGTCAAGTGTATTTTAGAGACAGTAACACAAAACATTTACAGCTGCTCTCAGTTAGGACTCAGTCACACATTTACAACACTCCTGTGTTGTCAAAATGACAGACAATAAGAAAGTCTAGTGCAACCTCTGAGTTGAATTTTGTAAAATATTCCTTTTTTTTACTGTAAGCCATGATATTGCACAGTATTGCACACCAAATGATTCATCCCATTCCCTACTTCCTGTCCACAGCTTTTCAAAATAAAGAGGAAGGTATTTGCATACCAGGTGGCCATGCACTAGACAAAACTCAGTCAGTGGTACATTAATAACACACAGTACCCACAACAGCAATACCATGCGCAAGAATGAAGGAATATCTTTTTCTTTCTTTGTTTTTAAATCTGGGTTGGAGAGACTGTATTTTTCACCTCTCACTGCAACTGACAAAGCAAGAAATGTTTTCCTTAAAGGAAGATGAATAAAGTGCTGTGAACCTGGCAGCCTTCCTCACTGCCCTCAGGCACATGTGTAAAAATCAGAGCGGTCTTCCCTTTGCACTTCAGACCCTGTCAACTGATGTGTGAAATGCACTATATACTGGAGGTGTCGTAACAGAATAAAGACAACTTAGTATCAAATGGAAGTCAAGGAAAGAGAAGGCTCAGGGCAGAAATGGAGACAAAACAAAATGTTAAATATTGATAATCTGACCAATTTAATCAATAACTCTTCCTTCACTGCTCCTGTTCTCTTCCTCTGTGTCTCCAGCTGGCGGGCTATAATTAAACAGTAGGGACAGAGTGTTTGCAGTGCTCTGCCTTCAGTGTGAGCACACACACACACACACACACACGCCCACACACCTTGGTGTCAGCATATAAACAAGGAGTGATGCCCTGAGGGATGGATTCAATTAGCAGGAAAACACACTAGGATATGCTCTGTCAAAACTCTGGAAGGAAGAAGCCTGCTCTACACACCACACACACAACCTCACACAACAATGCTTTCGTCAGAGAAGCAACATCATCAAACTCATCAGCACCTCAAAAAGTATTTTCTGCCCTGCTCTCATGGGTTCTGTTCAGTCCTCCCTCTGTCACACACACACACACACACACACACACACTAAAGTCCCTTTCTTCTTGCCTAATGAAGAGAAACCACTGTGCAAGCGTTACATCCTCCCCTGAACCATGCTGCTGATTCTGTCCACTAATGATCTGACACCAGGACACAAACAACAAAGAGGAGAACCAGCGAATGCATATGAATGTATGCAGCTCTAGTATGTGTACAACAGAGGGAGATGGGGAAAGAAAGGAGAACTAAAGTAAAAGATTCAAAAGAGCAAAGTTGGTGTAAAAAAAGTTTGAACTCATCAAATCAAGTATTCTCCAGCTCCTATTTCTTTCATGAGTAGGGGAATGAATCCTCAGCACGAAGAGATGAGGTGCCCACACAGTGCAATAGCGATCGATACAGACGTGCCTTTCTGTATAGATGTTATTCATTGTGTTTACTGTAGCTCGCACAAGACGTGATGCTGCATCCATCTCTGCTCTGCCCGTCTTCACGTGTATCACCTCGCCCTGGCTCTTCTCATGCTTTATCTCAAAATCTATATCTCTCACTAAGGGACTGACCACAGGTAACTATGCTTGCACTGAGCTATTACAGGATTTATAAATTATATATACACTATTATAAAGAGGAATGCATCATGAGCAGGTGGAGTCGGGCTGGCTTTAGTTATGCCCAGTCAATCCAGCTCCTCTTAACGGCTTTAATTAAGGAGTAGGGTGGAAACCTGACTGACTTATGTCACAGATTTATTCTTTTGGCAGTTGCAGTATGTACTCCATTCCAGTGGTGGAAGAAGTATTTAGATCCCTTACTTAAGTAAAACTGTAAAATAATCCATCCTGCATTCAAAATGATACGTACAAGTATTCACATCAAAATATACCTAAAGCACTACAAGTAAAAGTACTCCTACATATTAATGTATATTATATTACTGGATAATTATTCATGCATTATTGTGTACATCGCATTTAACATTGCATCCGGTAAAGGGAGAGCTAGTTTAAACTAGCTTATATACATTTAATTAGGATTACTTCTGGGTAGCTTATGAATTTCATATTGGATATCAATAAATTCTTATGATTATACTGTAATCTTTGTATTAATATGGTTCTGAAAAGTAACTATCAACTAAAGTTTCAAAATAAATCTAGTGGAGTAAAAACTGCAATATTTACCTCTAAAATATAAAGAGATCAAAGTATGAAGTAGCACAAAATGAAAATATTCAAGTATAGTTATCTCGAAATTGTACATTACTTGAGTAAATGTACTCAGTTACTTTCCATCACTACTCCATTTCTAGATTGACAGCAGCAAAACTATTAATGTAGAAGTACTGCACATGAATATCCACTCGGTAGTCTGTTAATATCTATGACCATCGTTTGTGCATGGAAGACAGAAGATCTCCAGTCCTGTAACGAGCAGCTGTTATAGAGTGTCATTTACTCACAGCTGCATCCAGTGGGTGAAATCCACGTGGGACTCACGTGTAACCTTATAAACTCACAGTTTTTAAAATAATACAATACAATCATATTGTAATCACTGCATTGTTTATTGCCTGTTTACTGCTTATTTTGCATTGTTTATTGCTTGTTTATAGTGTTTATTTTGTTATACTACACAGCCTTATGTTGGTATATTGTTTACTTGCCCCTTGCTGTTGCCTTGCATGGGGATATGTACATGCACATTTAGAGCCGCTGTACCAGAGTCAAATTCCTCCTGTCAACACACGTGGCTCATGAGCTGCTTTCATGTTATTATGCATAATGTTTAACATGGATTAGTCCCAATCAGATCACCTCTGGCTGCATCCTGTAAGTAGGCTACAGATGGTGCATCATGATGCGCAACAACAGTGGTTGACCATATTCACATCTATAGCTAACTAGTTTATGTATCTAATTCAAAAATAATATTCATGATACACAATTAATTACTCATAGTGAATTCCAGCAGATCAGTTGTGTCCATTAAAACACACGTGAGTACCTGATATCGTGCTTCCCAGCCTTGCGCTTGTCAGGAAAATTGCAAATGCACCTGCGAATGTGATGAGAGGTGGTCTGAGCAGGTGCATTTGCAATTTTCGTCAAAAGGAGCACCAAAATCGCACTGCGCTGCCTAATTAGTACATACACGGCCTCTCCTCTCACCTCAGCGTAAGCAAATTCATTCATGGCAGGAAATACCAAACACATCAATGTGCAAAAAGGTAGAAATGCGCGGGAGGAAAACTGCATAACCACTGTGACTGAGGCAATGCAGAAATTGCACTGGCCAGAACACAGACTCCACAGGGTATTTGACTTTAAATATTTCACTATTCAGTTGTAAAGAAATGCTGTAGAACAAGCCAGTACAAGAAATATTTTATATGTTAATGTTATGGAATATGTTGATTTTCACAATCTTTAAGTTACTTAAAAGCAAACAAGGGGAAGTAGTGGAGTCCGCAGTTACTGACAGTTTTGATAAATGGTCATTGTTTTCTAATAAGATGAACAAAAAGTGTATTTCCATGGTATTTTCCATCTGTTTTATCCACATTTTCTATTTGTAACAGAATAAAGTGAAGATATCACAAAAATATTTCACAAGATTAAGATGCAAATTTTGAGGTAAAAACAAAATCAGACAA